GGGTATGACGTTGTAGGGTATTTAATACCCCTTTGGCCAGCCTGGGTCAGCTGTCCTCGCTGTGTCCCCTCCCAGCTCCCCGTGCATCCCCAGCCTTCTTGCTGGCAGGCCAGCACGAGAAGCAGGACTGTCCTTGACTACTTATCAACAACCCAAAACATCAGCACATTATCAACAGTTTCTCATCCCAAATCTAAAACATAGTCTCATACTAGCTTCTCTGAAGAAAACCAGCTCTATCCTGGCTGAAACCAGAACATATACAGTCACTATTTTTCATCTCCAAAATGGGACAGCCGTAAAAATTTTTACTAGCAGAGAACATAAAAATAAATCGTAACTATTAATCCACTCAAGAGAGTGATGAATACCATTTTAAATTGCACTTTTTCATAGAAATAAATACGTATTATCATCTTAGTTCTGGTCAAGTGCCAGGGCAAGCCACAAGTGACATAAAACCATGAGAGTTTATTGCTATTACTTCATTAAACAAAAGCTACCAACCCAGGCATAATGGCTTTAAAGGACAAATAAACCTGCTACCTCATTTAAACTTTTCAGGGACCAAACACAGAGGTTTACTTTGGTCTGGTTTTGGTCACCTCAGAATGACCTCAACAAGTTCTTCCCATGAACTGTACCATCATTTAGAATTCACATCAGCCAGCCTTTTCAGTCGTGGCATCACGACACATGCTCAGCTCATCGCTGCCCAGGCAGGTACCACTGGAGAGGGGTAGAAAAGCTGCTCTAGAAACGGAACGAAGGGCAAAAAGAGGCATCAGTTTAAATTCCCACTGCCCTCTTCCACTTTACAACCTTCTTTTCCAGTGGCTAGTACCATTTTCAAGACACAGCGATACCCCCAACCTGTTCCCATTAGAGGCTAGTTACCGCAGTCTTAAGGTCGCCAAAACAGGTAGATGCACTTAGTATGTACCCCAGTGCTTCTGAAGGGATGAGGCATATAAACACATTGTCTTTTCCAACTGTGTCGAAACACATGAACGAGCATCAAGCACAAGGTAAATAGTAACATATTCTGATAAACAGGAACATAAGTGATCAAGTATTATGGCTACTTAGACTTGGACTACTAGAAACTTTGTGAAACTGCGACTTCAAGGATACGGGCAATCAACTGAACCCCAAACTCCCAATACTTGACCCAAACTTGAGTCTTAGTTCATCAATGCAGGAGACTGTTTCTCCATTCTACTTCAAGTACTGGTCAACATCACAGAAGGTTAATTCAAAAGGTAAGCACTAGTAAAACGATGAGAGACTCTGGCCCCTTTTACCCTAGAAAACATTCTACCAGCACAGCAAACAGGACAGATATCAAGGGGTGCATGCATCCTTCCATCACCCAAAGACATTGACGGGTTACCACTGGCAGCAGCTGGGGAATCAAACTGAAGCACGCCACAGGGAAATGCCACGGGAATTCCCTGTGCCTTATAGGAGCACAGAGAATTTTGGAAGACTCCTTTAGCCACACAATTCACACAAGAACCCATCTTAGAAATGTTAAGCAGGCCACGTACAAAGCCCATGTCTGCAAAGTTTAGTACCACTGCTTCTCTGGGCTCAGGGTGTGGTACGGCACACCCCCATGGAACTCAGTAGAACCATGCAAGGAGGTGCTTTGAGCCATTTTCTCTATTTTTTAGGCATGCATAGATGCTTTCCTCAGTATTAAGCTTTAGCCACTTGTTGCAAAGTACATTTCTGCACTACTCCAGTATTTTGTGTGTATCTCTCTTCAAAATTGAACATAAGTGACGATGTGGATTTTACCACAGCACCTGGCAGGATTAGTCACCAGGAAACAGAGCATGCTATATCCCCAGGTGACACAAACCACTGGTGGTGAAACTCGGCAATAAGCTCTGCCTGAACTCTGAGGTAAAGTCCTTGGTTTTCTTAATTGACCTACACAGCTAAAGCATTGTATTTCAGGCTATTACTTCCATCTCTGTATTTGGTTTACAGTCATGTAAGTCTGGTTCCACCGATTCAAATTTTGGTTTTAATCTACTTCAGATTCTGTTATCACAAGTCTGAACCCCCTCCAGAAACTGGAAATCAGTTTTTGCCATCATCGGTGTGGAGTTCTGAACTAATGCAAAAGAACACTAGTCTCCTTGCTGTGAGAACAATGCTTTTTGCTACTTCTTAATGCTATGATTTAAAACTACCACTTCCTGGCTTTACATGCTGGGTCCACACACCACCAGTATGAGGTTTCCGAACCATCAGACTCCATTCAGTCGGAATGTTCTCAGAGACTGGTAACGCAACCTGTACACAGTGCTAACGTTATCTTGCACTACTCTGTGACAAATCTGCTTCTCCAAAAACCAAAAGATCTTGAACAGGTTCACATAACCACCATTTAGCTCTTTTAAAAAAAAAAGAGGCCAAGATATGAAATATCTTTTATTTTATTAAACCTCTCATGGTGTGCAGGTTTTGTATCAGATTCTTCAATCCAGTACTTGCTGTTATAATGTCTCATGGTGGTTTGTTTCAGGATCCAGACAACTGTAAATAAAAAGTTAAGAGCTTTTAGAAAGGTTTTAGCACTGCAAATGTAAAACTGAAAGTTTATAGACATATATCAAGTTCATTTATCTGATAGTTTTAATGCAAGATAGACTTCAATAGCTCAAAGAATTTGCTTAATTTTATTCAGACAAGATCACGTAAAGATGCCTTCAAACACAACAGGCCTCGACTGTTTAACAAACAGGTAACAAGTCATTCTGTCTCTCAAGGAACTTGGAGCAGCACTAAGTATCATTTTTTCAGTAGGCTGCACGAGCTGGTACCTGGCAGGTGATAAGAAAAAATTCAGTTTATGAAACTCACTTCATCTGCATCCTCTGTCTCAAGCTTGGGTGCAAAAGGCAAAGACTTTTATTTGCAAGTCAGCCTCTCTCATTATGCCGCACAAGTGTTTTGTACCATGTATGGAACCATACATAGCTGAAATGCACTGAATTCCTTTAACAGTTAAAATTCTTAAATTATCCCAAAATCCTTCAGTAACAAATGTACATACACAATGTTATATACTTGTCCTTGTTGAATTGGCCTTTGTTTACAAGCATTTACACACAAACTACACAGAAAACCTATCTATATAAATGATGTGCTGATGACTGACTTTATTGAAGGCAGTGTCCAACCAAGAGGAACATTAATCTAAGTAGTCTCTGTAAATAGGTGTAAACTGGTCTGTCATGCCAGGTCAGCTGGTTTTGAATTCTCAGCCGCCATCGTAAGTGGCACGCACAGCACAGAATACAACAGTTGAGAGTCAGATGTTTCTCTACACAGCAGGATAATACCAACTGAATGAGAGATGGAAAGTCGCTGTCAAGAGACCTAGCAAAAGTTAAGTTTTATGATACCTCTTACGATGCCCTTTACAAGCACAACTGCATCCCTGTCAGGAACCTGCTTAACCACAACCTTGACAAAGTTTATCTACTTTACCACGTCCCCAGATAGCATCTTCCCCTTACGGAAGATGTACAATCTGCATAAGAGGATACCAACCTATTAGAGTTTTACTCATCTGCCTGCTGTACTGTTCCTTTCTCAGAGACATAGATACCATCCAAGAATTTCCTGATATCCTTGTTCTTGACCGTAGTGGCTTGCTGGATCAAGGCAGCTGCAGACAAAGCAAGACCATTAGCAGAAAGCACAGGTCCAAGCCAACACATAGCCTTTGTTTACTCCCCAATATTTCAACTAACGAAACTGTCACCTGGAGAAGGGAATTACCAAATTGAAATCCTGCCAGTTCCAATGAAAACAGAATGCCTTTCACTGAGCCCATCTTGGCAACTCAGGGCAGTGACAGTTTATTACTGAAAAGCTGAAAAGTTTGGTGCCAAAAAGGCCATTAATACTGACTCAAAAAACCTTCCATGGACTTGAAGTATCTTTAAGTCTAAAAAAAAGCGAAAGAAATTATAAAAAGCAATTACAGTGACGGGGGGGACGAATTGAGCTGTCATTTACTTCAGGGTTTGAGAAAGAAGATAGAAGTTGCTAAGCTGACATATCTTCAGATAGAAGTGGCTGTATCATTATAGCTTCCCACACAGCTAGGTCACAAACCTGAGTTGGAGACCAATTCAATGTCATTCCCTTCAAGGATCAGCTCATCTTTCTGGGCTTGAGATACTGCACAGGAAACGCCTAAAGAAAGAAAAAGACACAATCTTCATCATTGGTGAAGACATTAGGGGTACTAAAAAAAAACGTAATTCATGTCCTGTCCCAATTTACAGACCAGAAAGTAGTATTCTGGGCAGTAATTAACTTCTATGACTTTGTTAAACGAGTCCCCCAAGCCCCTTCCAGGATTGTCCTCCCTCATCATTTCTGCACACAAAGATTAGTGCAAGTCGTGATCTGGATTGAAAGCAACTAAGTGCGATTCCTACTTAAATGTCACTAATTTACAGCATTAATCACCAACACTCTGTATAAGCCAGAAATTTTGCCAGCATGGCTTCGTCAGCTAGGTGGTGCCATTTTCCACATTCTCATTAAGACAAAATTGGATTCACCGCAACCGAGTCATTAAAAAAACCAACCCTGCCCCCTGACATGTCAAGCACCATGTTCATACTAGCAACACTGTGAATACTCACAAGGAGTAAACACAAGGACATTCAAGAGTCTAACTGGAAATTTTCATTTGCAAGGAGAGTAAGAAGTTTGATCTATTGAGTCAATAGATGTTAAGATTTTAAGCAAGCACTTTACTATCTTGGACATAAATGCTGACTTACAAAAATGAAATACAATAATCAAACCCATCCGTAATGTCCCACAGTCAAAGTTAAAGTCACTGTCAGTAACCCACACTGTACCTACCAGTGGTTTTGGACAAATCTAATGCATTCATCTAAAGCTACCCCAAAAGACCATCAGTCACACTAAGTAGCCTTGTCCATACCTTCACCAGAAGTAGAACTATCAAAAAAATTTGATAGAGTTTTTCCTACAGTCTTAAGGTAACTGTGTTCATGACATATTTTGTCTCCTTTTGAAGTTTAACAAGCTCCATCAAATGCCTACTCTGCCAGACATCTTGCTAAAACTCCGAAGTATGCAAGATATAAAACCAACAACTAAGACAGTAATTTTGAAGTTTATCATATGTGCTCCTAGACAATCAGGAAATTCAAAATACGAGAACACTTCAGAGACCAAATATATGATGTAGTGTGAGACTAGTTCATATACAATGCTTAAAACAGAAACAGAAATCTAAAATTGAGCACCTGCAGTTTACCAGCTATCAACACTGCCCAGATCTCATGATAAAAGTAAACACTGGGGTCCTTGTCACTCATATTACAGTAAGTAGCTCTAAACTAGTTATTTTTAGTGGTAAGAGCTAGCTAATAAATAACAAAAGCATTATTAATAACAAATCTAAACAGTGGCAAAGGTACCATAAGATTATGTAAATTCAAACAGGCAAAAATGCTGCTTCAACAATCATTCACCATTGCCTGTATCAGTGGCAGTACACAAAGAAAATAGTTTAGAAACAGTAAAGTCCACCTCCAGAGACACTCACCTGGCCTCATACGCACCCTGCGAATGTACTTCTCTCCCAAGAAGTTTCGGATTTCCACAAGTGAGCCATTATCCTGTATAACTACGTTGATTGGGAAGTGAGCGTACACTGACCTCATCTTGTAACGAAAGCCCTACGATGAGGGGCATCATCAGATATTGAAAGCAGAACATGTCCAAAAGGTAAAACAGATGTGTTAAGCTTACTGGAGAAATCTAAACCCAAGAGATTATTGGCATTAGTTTCTTAACAAGGGCAAGACACTAAGCCCAAGAGACATTCATGCTTTCTTCCACCTGCAGAACTTGTTTGACAGCAAGTGCAAGGGAAAAAAAAAAATAGAGAAAGCTACATCTTGCATGCTTAGAAAAGCTCTCTCGAAAGTAAAAGGCTGTCCATTACTGTAACAAAAATGACAGGTAATCCCATTCTGAAATAAAACTTACCAGTGTAACTCCCTTTATCATGTTCTGTACATGGCTGCAAATTGTGCGAACTGTTGCCAGTTCCTTTCTGTTACCCCACCACTTGTCAACACGTAGCTGTGTAAAAAAAATTCAATAAAATTAACGCTTTCAGCTACACTTCAGAACTAAAAATGAAACGTTTTTGTGACAAACTAAGAGTGAAAAGCTCCAATAAACTACTTAAAAGCCCACCTAACAAAAGCAGATAAATACTTTTCTTTTTTTCAAAGACTATTAAAGGCCCACCTAGCTCAAATCTTTTAAATCCTAACCTCCAGCCGTACAACAAATATTTTTCTTCATGTCTCATTATGAACAAATCTTCAAAGAAGCCAGGGTAGATGTTCAGACATCTTAAGCTGAAGGATGTGTTATCAAATACTAAACACTGAATACGTTGTTCTAAAGTCAGTCTCCTATGTGGAATCTATGAACTTTTTAACAAAACACTGTGTGTGGGTCCAGTGTTTTAATGAAACACTAGACACTTGTGAAAAAGTAGCTGAAATCAGCCACTTTTTCCCTCTTTTTGTAGTTTTTAAGGCCATACAAAAATATTATGCCTTTATTTAGAAAACATCTGTTCTCCTGATATAACTGGCCAATTCTGAAAATTAAACATAGAGATTTAGGTTTTTTTTAGCTAAAACGAGTCCGTTTATAAAACACGGGATACAACAATCAACCCCTTTTCCATTAACTATCTGCCTGCAACTACCAAAAAAAAAAAAAAAATCAATCAACAAGTTCACTCCAATATATCACAGAATTGCAAGACTTCCATGGGTCCAGAGCAGGTCCCGTGAGACCTGCCTCTTCCAAAATACACAGAAATAAGCGAAAAATTAAGTTACATAACTGCAGCTCAACTTTTTGGTTCACTCTCCTATACTACCAAGAAGTTTTTAAGCTAATTGTAAAGCTACTCTCCCTCTCCGGGCAGCGAGACAACCTCTGCAGCACTCACCTTCTTGTGTTTCTTTCCCAGGAGTGACAGCTCCACATTGATGTGGTTAAAATCCCTCCGCAAGGTTCCTCTGGGGCCCTTTACAATGACTGTCCGGCCCTTCAGTGAAACACTGACTGGAAATCAAAGGCAGACGCAGGTTAACAGGCTGCGGGGTCAGCATCACAAAACGCCTTTCAAACACAGACGTACCTTGCTCGGGGATGTCAACGGTCTGGTTGCTGAGAATGGTCTTCATTCTAAAAAGTAAAATCCCTCCGCAAGGTTCCTCTGGGGCCCTTTACAATGACTGTCCGGCCCTTCAGTGAAACACTGACTGGAAATCAAAGGCAGACGCAGGTTAACAGGCTGCGGGGTCAGCATCACAAAACGCCTTTCAAACACAGACGTACCTTGCTCGGGGATGTCAACGGTCTGGTTGCTGAGAATGGTCTTCATTCTAAAAAGGACAACGGAAAAAAGCTGCAGCCCCTCAAGGCACAGTCCTTTTCTTGCGCCCCTGCCGCTCTCCTCCGCCACGCACCCTGGAACGTGCAGCTACGG